AACCACCACAGTTTTAAAACCAAGCACGTCCTGGACAAACCAGGATGAGGTGATCTCCCCAGGGGTTCCCCAGTAAAGAACAGTACTTGTATTGTGGAGCTTCCACTCTAGTTAGGGAGACAGACAAGGAGTAATTTTTAAAATGAACTGTATGTTGTACTAGAAAATGATAAACACTCTAGGAAAAACAGAGCAGGAGAAGGGAGGACGGGACTATGTGGGGGGAAGGCAGGGGAGGGGCAGGAAGGGAGGGAGGACTGCCATTTTAAATGGTCCCCACGAGCCCCACTGAGAAGAGGGTGTGGGAACAAACACTTGAAGCTGGGGATGGGGTGAGCACGCTGATATGGGAGAAGAGCGTTTCGAGCAGAGGGAGCAGCCAGTGCAAAGGCCCTGAGGTGGGCGTGTGCCCAGCATGACTGTGGCACAGGGCGCTAAAACTAAAGGTGCTCCCCTCCGCGACTAGCCTGCCCAGCAGTGTTTGCAACACGTCTTCTATTTCCCTGGGCCTTTGTTTCTCCACCTGCAAAATGGGGAGAAACATGTCTGGGCACAAAACGTCCTAAATTGTAGACACCCGAGGCACTGCGAAGCTCTGGTGGCGCAGTGGTTAAGAGCTCGGCTGCTAACCAAAAGGTTGGCAGTTCGAATCCACCAGCCACTCCTTGGAAACCCTATGGGGCAGTTGTACTCTGCCCTGTAGGGTTGCTATGAGTCGGAATCAACTCAAGGCAACAGTTTGGTTTTGGGTTTCGAGGCATCGTGCTCATTTAAATGTCGAGTAAGAGGCCTGTCCTGAATACCGTTGTGATGCTTACCCTGTAAGGCAGATGGGGAATGTCGAGCTTAAAGCTTTGTTGTCGGCTGGCAGACAGGACCGATAGGAAGACGAGAGCCGTTACCAGGGATCACCCTCCTTCCTGCACAGAAGGTCACTCTGAAGGTGACCACTGCTGGCTGCTATGTATCCCCAGAGCAGCTCTTCCCGTGGGGGGCTAGCCACGTTGGGGGTTGGTCAACACCCCATGCCACTTAGAACACATATAACGGAATAGAACCCAGCACTGCCGTTCACAATTGCCTGGCCAACTATAAACAGACGCCTTTGTTTATGATGTGAAATAATGTAATTCGGAATATTGCGTTATGACGGTTTATTGTTTTATATAATTACAATCATTAGCCAGGAAAATAGCAAACAGATGAAACGCTGGATTCAAGGAAGGGGTAGGGAAAAGGATCCCAGATACTGAGGTGACTCAGAGCATTACGAGAGTTAACCCCTACAGAGCCAAGTGCCGCTTTGGAAATGCAATGCATGGGAGAACCCTTTGTGAATATACAGAGTGTGCACACTAAATGCAGTGTGTCAGGACAGCTTCCTGGGGCCTGTGGGTTTTGCTCATAAAGGGTATGTGTCCACCGAGACGTGCAAAGATGGTCCTTGATCTGCAGACTCGAGAGATGGCAAGTTCTGCGGCCTCGCAGACTCTCTCCATCTCTCCGCAGGGGGGCCCTGCACAGATCTGGGGGATTTTCCATTTCTTTTTCTTAAGGGACAATTTAAATACAGTAAAATTCATCCTTTCTGGTGTATAGCCCTACGAATTTGAACAAAAGGATACAGTCATGTAACCACCACCACAATCAAGATACAGAAGAGTTCCATCACCCCCCGAATTCCCCACGCCCCTTTTGGTCACCCCCCCACACTGCTTGCCCCTGGCAAACACTGATGGATGTTCTGTCCCCATGATTTGCCTTGTCCAGAATGTCACACGAATGGAATCCTCAACTTCTCTCACTGAGCACAGTAAGTTTGAGTCAGCTAAGGTGTATGCTTCAGTACTTCCTTTGCTTTTATTGCTGCACACGATTCCACTGAAACAGCCCTGGTGGCGAAGCGGCTGAGCACTCGGCTGCTAACCGAAAGGTCGGCAGTTCAAACTCACCAGCAGCTCTGTGGGAGAAAGACGTGGCGGCCTGCTTCTGTAAAGATTATGGCTTTCGAAACCATATGGGGCAGTTCTGCCCTGTTTGTGGGACTGCTGCGAGGTGAAGTCAACTTGACTGCCATGGGTTGTGCCTGCTATGAAGGTGTCCTGGTTGCGCCATGGTTAAAGCGCTCAGCTGCCAACCAAAAGGTCATGGGTTTGAACCCACCAGCCACTCCACAGGAGAAAGATGTGGCAGTCACTTCCGTAAAGAAACCCTATGGGGCAATTCTATTCTGTCCTAGAGGATCACTATGAGTGGAAATCTACTTGATGGCAACGGATTTGGTTTTTTTTTTTTTTTTTACTAACCATTGGAGGAAACTGGGTCAAAGGTACATAAGATGTCTCGGCATCATTTCCCAACTGGATGTGAATCCACACTTATCTCAAAACAAAAAGGATTAATTTATAAAAATAATAAATAACTACGAGAGGGAATTGAAAGAGGAATAGTTCTGCCAGCATACAGGCCGTTGTTCTTTAATGCAGCAGCTGTAATTCCTCTAAAACCAGGCCCCTAAAACCATCCCTCATCTGTCAGCGTGTCATCCTGTGGTGGCTTGTGTGTGGCTGCGATGCTGGAAGCTGAGCCACTGGTATTTCAAATACCAGCAGGGTCACCCATGGGGGACAGGTTTCAGCAGAGCTTCCAGACTAAGACAGAGTAGGAAGAAAGGCCTGGCAATCTACTTCTGAAAATCAACCAGTGAAAATCCTGTGGATATCACAGAATATTGTCCAGTAGTGGTGGAAGATGAGCCCCCTAGATCAGAAGGCACTCAAAATACACAGTGGCTGCAACAATGGACTCAACACCGACAATTGTGAAGATGGGGCAGGACAGGGCAGTATTCTGTTCTGTGGTACGTGGCTGCCATGAGTTGCACCCAAGTGGAGGGCATCTAACAACAACAGGCCCTGGGTGCTGCAGGCCCACCCCTGGAGAGACATTGACTCAACACGGACCATCTTACTCTACATAGTTTTCTTTACGTCAACTCACTTTTCCTTAAGTATCATGATATTCAAAGGTATTGGGGGCTCAGCAGTAGAATTCTCACCTTCCATGTGGGAGACCCAAGTTCAATTCCCAGCCAATGCACCTCAAGTGCTACCACCACCCATCTGTCGGTGATATTGACCAGGTTTCAGCAGAGCTTCCAGACTAGGATGAGCAGGAAGAAAGGCCTGGCAATCTACTTCCAAAAGTCAGCCATTGAAAACCCTGTGTGTCACAATGATCCAATCCTGTGGTGCATGGGGTCACCATGAGTCGGGGTCTGACTGGATGGCACCTAACAGCCACATGAGAGAAAGCTGCACCACTGTTCTGAGCAGGAAGAGATCACAAAGAAACTACAGTGAAAACAGCGAAGTCCCGTAAAGACTCCTCACTGTGGAAGCCAGAGTAGAGAGAAGGCTTCGTAAGGATGCCCCAAGCCAGCTCTACAGAAATTCCTGAACTCGACCTGCCCAGCATAGCTCAGCCATCTCTGCCATGCCACATCCAGAAGGCCGGGGCGGGTGGCCAAATTCCAGACCTCCAGACAAGACCTGTCTCTGAACCCTTGCTCTCCCCCCTACAAGCTCTGGAGCCTTGAAAAAGTCACTTAAGCCCTCTGAGCTGTGTTTTCCTTATCTAGAAAGTGGGGCTCACGTCCGCTTGTTGGAGGGATTGGAGAAGACAGTGGAGGAGACTGTCTGGCCAGGGTAGGCATGCTGACGGTCCTATCTTTCTTTTCCTTTTAATCACACATACGCCTCCTGCCTGCCTTTTGCAATCTTGGTTTTCTGAGTACCTGACATGCGTGTCTCTACCCCAGAAAAGGTCTCCCTGGCTGGTACCCCTTTGTCTCCCACCCTGAGCTCACCTCCCCTAGACAACAATGCCAGAGTCACTGATGCCTTTGAGGTGACCCCCTCCCAAGGAGCTCCTCCTTCACAGCCACACCTCCCCCAACTTCCCAATTTAAGTCCAACTGAGGAAGTGAGTCTTCCCGTGGCCTCTGAGAACCTGCACGCCTACCACAAGCTGACCACAGACTTCAACGTTTGCCCTCATCCATGTTAGCCTTGTACCACGAAGGCTTGCTTTCGGCTGGAGCGGAGCACCAGTGTGGTTACAAGGCACAATATTTTCAACTGGCCGTGACGTTTCTTCTGTTTTTTCCCAGCAAGCGGATGCTGTCTTTTTTCTAAGTTACATCCTGCCTCTCGTCGTAGTTGGGCAGATAACATCTCCTGTTTCATTCTTACAGAAAGATTTGCTACGGGAAAGCAGAGGCTTGGCCTCCGGTTCTTATCTGAGAGCCCCTGCACCTCTTGGTTATTTTGGATACTGGGAACCCGAGTGTGTGTATAAATACATGGTCCGTTGGCCCCTGTAAATCTCATTGAAAAATGCTACCCTTGTGTGGCCGGATCGGTAGACGTACTATAAATAGTGTTTCTATTAAATACCTTGATATTTAGATTATACATACTGTGCATTGTATTTTTAAAACTCTTGGCTAATAAAACCGATGTTTCTAACCAATTCACACCTTCTGTTTAACTAGGTTCATCATTGGAAAAACACTGTTGATAAAGCAAGCACTCTCCTTATAGGTTGCTTTGCTGTTTAGCAGAAGGTGGATGCGGACCTGGCTTCAGACAGCTGTTGTGAGTTTCAGTAACTATTTTGACAAAAGCAACAGCGGTGCTAAGTCCATGAGAGAATTGCTGAACTGGGTCAGACCAGTTTTACGGCACATTTTCTTTATCACTGGGTGCTTGAAGACAAATATATCATTAAGAACTGCGGGGCGAAAAAGAGTTTGCTGGTTTGTTTTAACTGACATCTTAGACATGCTCCACTGTGGAGCATGTTACGTACCTTTATGAAGAGTGACGTATTCTCAGCCAGAGACGCTGAGCTGACCCTCAAAAGGCAGCCACAGATCCAAGACGGGCAGCTGGGCTTCCTCCCCTAGAGGTGAAATGAACTTGAGGGCGGCTCCTTACCTCTCTGCAAGAAGCCTGCTGTTCGTCTTTGCTGAGAAAGCGTCTTAGCATCCTCCACTGGCGCCCTCCCTGAAGCCGGCATCTCAGGGGGCAGCGAGATGCTCAATGCGCCTTAGAAACCCAGAGAAGGCAGGCTGGCCTCCCATGGCTTGGCCTTGGAGTCCGTGCCGTGTTTAACTGAGACAAGCGCCATTTCTCACAAGCTAGAAGAGACTCAAGCCGAGACGAAACTCGGACTGGCTCGGAAATAGGAAGTAAATTATTTTCTATACATTTTACCTAATGTCACGGTAGCAACGATTAGAAAACAGGAAGAGAGAGAAGCAGAGGGGGAGAAAAAAAATAGAGCCCAGCTCAGGCCTTGTTGGGTAATTGTGATGTCGGAGCTAAGAACCAGCAAGGAGAGCGGCTGCCCAGGAAGGTGAGTGTGCAACCAGAGTGCGTGAGACGAGGCTGTCCTGAGCAGGTCGTTAACGCTGAGAGCAAGGCTGGTGGCACCCATCGGCCAGCAATCTCTGCCATCCTGTCTTTACTTAAATGTCAATGTTTTATTCATCACACACCTATTGGCACTGATTTTTGTTTTTAAAATAGTACATTAAGATATTGCCTGGATTACTGAGTTTTTTTTTTTTTTTTTTTTGTGCCCTCTTAAATTTTGCACTCCCTCCCCGCCGACGGCGAGTGCCTGGCTCTCCTCACCCAAGTCCTCATCCCTCTGGCTGCCTTTGGAAGGAGACAACAAGGGACAGAGGCAGGGCGATCACTCGTTCGCTGTCTTTGAAAAATATAATTATTCTAAGTGGGGGAGGCTGGGGTTGGGAGAAAATCTCTAAATAAGAAACTTATTTGAGGGGTCAGACGGAGCAGGTTAGAGGCAAAATTGGCGGGGGGCGGGTAGTACACTAACTATTTTAAGCTGGTTTCCTGTTGTTTTTAGATATGTCATTTCACTAGGGAGAGGGATGCTCCTTTGCTCCACTGTGTCATCAAACTGACAAAGGCAACTCGAAAGGTTAGATGAGGCGCTTAGAGGCCAGTGAATCTAAGTCAATGGTGGTGGATCAACTCAGAGACTGAGTGTGAGAATGTTTGCACCACTTGAAAAATGTAATTAATGTCACTGAGTTGTACATGTGGACATTGTTGAAATGGTGAACGACTGTATATTTTCACTAAAATTTAAAAATATATATATCCAGCTGTTCATTAATCTCAGTCTCCTCTTTTGCTAGATAGGGGTCAGGGGAGGTTTCATCTGGCAGCATGATCCCCAAAGTGAGTTGGGATTTGGAAGAACCAAATTGTACTTCCCGATCCCCCAGCTCCAGTGAGCACATGCGCTGGCCGCCGGGAGTGTGGGAAATGGACAGACGCAGAGTCAGCACAAGGCAACTCGTAAATTATGGCCGAATGATATTCCATTGTATGGATGAACCACATTTTGTTTATGTTCATTCATGTGCAACACAGCTCCTCCTCCAGCGCCCCATCCTCTGGATCCCCTACCACCCAGCAACCAAGGAGTAAATGCCTGGCATGGGAACCTACTTCAGCGCCGAGACCAGCGTCTGTTCTGACTCCTTGGCACCTGCACCTTGATGGTTGTTAAACACTATCTGTATCACCCCTGGCCACAACAGACATATAAATAAAGCGTCGTGGGAACCCACAGGAAGAGGGCTTGGGGAAGTCTTCCTGGAGGAAATGGCAGCTAACTTGGCATTGCAGGATGCATAGGAGTTTGATAGACAGAAGAAAGAGCAAGATGAAGCTGGGAGGCCTGATATGCACAAGAAGGTCAGAGACGTGGCGTGTTCCACTGCTTCTGGAGGGTTAGAGTGGACGTGTGGAGGGAGAAGAGGAGATGGAAATACTGGCGCGAGCCAGCCTGCAGAGCATCTGGAACATCATCGGAGGAGACTGGACTTTCTCCCGGAGTAGCAGAGCCCTCCAAAAGCTGTGCTCGACAGACTAAGCCATCCTCAGTTCTAGTCCCCTGGGAGCGCCTGGGCCAGACGTTTCCAGGAATTGACCACGGAAACCCTCAGGAAAGAATCTGTGCCCACATTCTGAAACCAAAAAGATGCTGATTTGCGTCTCCGACTCCAAAGTTGCAATCTTAATGCACTTTATTAAGGTAAGTTAATGGAAAATTTTCTTGTACAAAAGCTACTATAAAAAATTTAAAACCCCTGGATTAAAAATAAATATCTCAACTGAGGAATGAATAAACAAAAATGTGGTCCACCCATACACTGGAATATCATTCGGCTGTAAAAAGGAATAAAGTTCCGATAAGCTACAGCATGGATGAACCTTGAGAACATCGTGCTGGGTGAGAGAAGCCAGACACAACCGCCACATATCGTGTGATTCCATTTACAGAAAATGCCCAGAATGGGCAAATCCATCAAGACAGGAAGGAGATTAGTGGTTGCCAAGGGGCTGGGTGGGGGATGGGAGTGACTGCTAACGGGCACAGGGCTTCTTCTTGGGCTGATGAAAATGTTCTGGAATCAGGTAGTGGTAAAGGAGCCTTAAGGAGCCCTGGTCGTGCAGTGGTTAAGCACTTGGCTGATAACTAAAAGGTTCACTGTTCAAACCTCTCAGCCACTCTGCGGGAGGAAGATGCGGCAGTCAGCTTCTGTAAAGATTACAGCCTTGGAAACCCTGTGGGGCAGCTCTACTCTGTCCTATAGGGTGGCTATGAGTCGGAATTGACTCGACTGCTATGCGTTTGGCTTTGGAAAGGAGCTCTGGGGTCACAGTGGTTAAGCGCTCAGCTGCTAACCAAAAGGTTGGTGGTTCAAGCTCACCCGGCAGCTCCGTGGGAGAAAGACCTGGTGATCTGCTCCTGCAAAGATGTCAGCCTAGAAAACTCTATGGGGCAGTTCTACTCTGTCACATGGGGTCACTGTGAGTCAGACTGGACTCGAGGGCAACCACCAGCAATGGTTGCACAACTTTGTGAACATACTAACACCCACTGGACCTTACACTTTCAAAGGATGGATTTTCTAGAATGTGAGTTATATCTCGATGTAATAAACGCACTAACAGACCTCTCCCTTTCTAAGTTGTGTAAACACTGTGCTATCCCTCTCCTCTTCAGAGCCTGCGACAGATAACCAAGCAGCCGAGCCTGTGGCAACAGTCACCAACGAAAAAGAAAAACAATGTTCAAAGAGTTGTTGACTTGCTTTCTGAGCCCTTTCCCCTCCACCAAAGAAACAAACAAAGAGATACCTAACTCACTTGCCAAGAGCAAGCCTCCTCTGGCAAATTGTAGTCTGCAGCAACTGTTCTTTCAAACAAAGCTACATGGGGTGGTTACAATAAAACAGAGCAAAGCCAAAGAAGACATCAGGTGTCCGTGTGTCCGGGAGACACACTGTGCACTGGCACCCTCAGACACACATCCCTGCCGAGCCACCATGGCCAGAGGGAACAGAAAGATCCCTCTCCCTGGGGTTTGCTCCCAGGACCTTGCCTGGACCCCAGATGTGCAGTCCCAGGGCAGAAAGCCCCGGGGTGAGGAGCTGGCTGCAGCTGAGCTGTCGCCCTGCCTGAAACTCTGAGTGCAGCCACCCGCTCACCCTGGGTGGAGCATGTGGCTGGTGGGAGCAGAAATGCTGGGCCGGGGTATGGCACGGCCCCCAGGGCAGGCGGGGGACACAGACACCTGTCCCAGTGCCCGATGAGTCAAAGCAATAGTGGCAATGACATAAGTCCCTCCAAGCTCCGTCCAAGGTCCCCAGCACTCTTGCCACATCCTGCCGCCCGCCTTCTCTCCCCCACCCCCAGCAAGCCTCTTCAAAGTACCCACGTGTACCAGGGAGAGGACCTAGCAAAGCGTCAGGTCCCCAGAGTGTGTTCAATAAGTGAATGTCAATAGAGAAAACACTCTTCAAATCCACCCAGGGGCACCTTGGAAGAAAAACCTGGCTATCCACCTCCCCCCCAAAAAAATAACCAACCCTGTTGCTGTCAAGTTGATTCCAACTCATAGCAACTCTATAGGACAGAGTAGAACTGCCTCATAGGTTTTCAAGGAGCAGCTGGTGGATTCGAACTGCTGACTTTTTGCTCAGAAGCCAAGCTCTTAACCACTGCACCATCAGGGCTCCTATATGTCTGTGTGCGTGTGTGTATATATGTATTATATACCTGTGGTAAAACCTGTGAAAGCCAGAACCTGTGTAGGGCAGAAGAAAGAATCTAAAATACTTTCCACTGAAATGAGCAGGAGGAAAGTGGTAAGACTGCACCCTGTCAGAGGCAGAAACCTTGCAAGTTCCAGAAAAACAAGGCAGTCCCATCGAGTTCCAGCTCTCGCAGGTTTCACTGTATATATACCAAAAAAGCAAACCCGTGACCATCAAGTCCACTACGACTCGTAGCGACCTTACAGGACAGGGCAGAACTGCCCCATAGGGTTTCTAAGGCTGTCATCTTTATAGAAGCAAACTGTCACATCTTTCTCCCTCAGAACCACTGGTGGATTTGAAACGCCAACCTTTCGGTTAGCAACCAAGCACTTAACCGCTATACCGCTAGAGGTCCTTATACAGACGTATACATATATATCTATGTGCGGTCCCTGGGTGGTGCAAACAGTTAAATGTTTGGCTACCAACCGAAAGGTTGGAGTCTGAGTTCACCCAGAAGCACCTCAAAAGAAAGGTCTGGCGATCTGCTTCTGAAAATCCAGCCACAGAAAGCTCTGTGCAGCACGGTTCTACCCTGACACACGTGAGCGGCCAGTGGCTGGAGTCAACTAGACAACAACCACCCTGATTCTTTTGGTTTGCCGGTCCACGGAACACAACTTGTGAGAAACCAAGACCACCCAAGACAGGTGAAGAAGATGATCATCCAGAAGCCTCTTCTTGAGACCCCGAGGTGGACGCACCCCAGCGGTGTCCACCGGCTGTTCTGTCTGTCCGTCCCTTCTCTGGGTTCTACCCGTGTGTCATCTGCAGTGGTTTGAGTGCTAGCTGCTCTATCCCCCTTTGCACCGTTTCTGCAGCACCCCTGGGGTCACACTCGTCCAATGCCTGTTGGTGTCAGTGGTCGTCGAGTCGACTCGAATTCATGGCAAATCCATGTGTGCAGAGTAGAGCTGTGCTCCATAGGGTTTTCAAGGCTGTGATCTTTCAGAAGCAGATCACCTGGCATGTCTCTCAAGGTGTCTCTGGGTGGGTTCGAACCGCCAATGTTTCGTCCAGTAGATGAGCTCTTAACCTTCTGCACCACCCAGGGACTCTGTAGTTGAATGTCTACCTGTATCAAACCACTCACTTAATGGAACCAAACCCAGTTTTGCTTCCAGAGACTTCCAAACTCACAAACCAGGTGGGAAACCTGAGAGGCTGCAAGCGCCCGTCCATAATCAAATGCAGAGCTGGGTCACGCAGGCTTTGGGCTGGGGAGGCACCTGACACAGGGCCCTGCCTGGTGATCACACGCTCCAATTTTCCTTTCAGCCATTCTCTCCTGGGCTCAGCTCCTCTTAGAGTCCTCCTCGCTTTGTCACTCCATTATCAAGAGAGGCTTGCGTGGTGAGAAATGAGGCTGTACCTGTCGAGGCCCTTCAGTAAAGGAGCACTCCACAGCCATGTGACACCATACTGG